AGGATGTGAGGTTTCTTTGTGGACCTCACCTTTTCCCCACTTTCTAGAGCCTTCCATTTGTGTACAGTTTACACATCCTTCTTCAATATACATTATTTTTCTAATTGTATTGAAGTATAGTTGATTTACAATGTTGTATTAATTTTTTCAATACAATGGTACAGCAAAGCGACTCAGTTCATATATTTATATACATATACATACACACACACACACATATATATGTATATGTCCTTTTCATGTTGTTTTCCATTATGATTTATCACAGGATATTGGATACAGTTCCCTGTGCTACACAGTAGGACCTTGTTGTTTATCAGTCCTAAATATACTCGTTTCCACCTGCTAATCCTAAACTCCCAATCCTTACTTCCCTCACCTCACCTCCCCTCCCCCTTGGCAACCAGAAGTCTGTTCTCTATGTCTGTGAGACTATTTCTTCAACATATACTATTAAACCAAAGTTTACCATTGATTCTTCTAAAATGACTTAAATATTAGTTTTAATCTTTAATAATAAAGGGCTCTCGGGACATGTTTTTAGAGAATATATTTTAATTTCTCTCTCAAAAGCCACCTTAAATCTTTTGAAAGATATGTCTTCTATTCTGGAGGAGGAAAAAATAAAACAGCTGAGTCTTTAGGGTCCAGTAAATTACAATTGGCAGGCTGATTTCAGTCTTGGTATCACAGTTTTGGCTTTTCCAGTGTCTTATCTGCTGTGAAGATGCTCAATCACAAGAATTCTAATGGCCATCAATACCTCCCTTGTAACCACAATGGCTCAAGCGAACCCCTTCCATCTTCAACAACTGACACAGTGTCAACATCTGCTTCCAATGAAGTTGTTTCTTTTTTCTCAAGTCAAATAAATCTGCTGACTGAGACTGTAAAGAGTTGTGTTTTTTTTTTTCCTCCTCTTTTCATGCGGAAAAATTTTTTTCCACCATATTTTGCAATTTTTCCTCCAAGTTAAAAAAAAAAAACGGATAACTTCAAAGGAGATGTTTTTATTCTAGGTGCTAAGAAAGCCCAAAATATAATAAAAAAAAATAATAAAAACTTTGGTGATTTCATGAAACTGTCACTTTCATTTTGGAGACAATAATCACAGGGTTCTGGATGAATATAAGTCTGAAATGTAAGAAAACTCAGAGTTGGACCTATATACCACTAAGAAGTTAATTTATTTTCCTTCATAAACAGCACATTAAAGTATCAGAAATAATTAAGAAATTTACATTTTATCTTCAACATCTAGTAGAAGACAAAGATTCTCTTGCAACAATTTCTTACATAAAAGCACAGCTGTATATCAACTTTCTATAGATATGGGTGTGTAAAGAAAAGGGACACTTGGGAGCGCAATTTGATTATTTACTTACTCAGCTGACAGATACTTGAGGAATCTGTCATTAACTGAATGTCTACTATGAGCCATGTTATTGAGTGTATATATGCGTGTGTGTGTGTAATAAAATTTCCAACCTTCCTAGCCTGCCAGTTAGGTATTATTATCCTACTTTACTCATGAGATAAATAAATGAAGCCCCAAAACACACATTTAACTGTGGCTAAACCAGAATTCAGAAAATGACCAATGTCCAAGTCAATTTTTTTTCATTGATTCACTGCTTCTCTGTTCACCCTCCGGTCAAAATTGTAACATAAATACTGTCCTTTTCTACTGCTTAGTGTCACTGACCCATTTTCTTAATTTGGCATATATTATGTAACCAAGGGCTACTCAGTAAGGGACAGAATGCAGTTTCTTAAAATACAGTATCTGATTGCTATTTGCATAATAAATAAGGAGCTTCATAAGGGCACATTTTATGCCAATGTCTGAATTGTGTTGTTTTTTTTTAAAGGTTGTTACAACATGCAAGAAATTAATTTCTCAGTTACTTGCAATCCACTTGTTCTCATGGCAAAATGTAGAGCAATCCCTGTTACTTTTTGCTTAAAATAATAATGCATTTAAGATGAAAGAGGGGAGAAAAATTAAAGGGGAAAGTTAAGAAGGGATTGTTAGCCTTATTAAGAAGAAACATTGATTTTTAAACATTTAGAGGTGCTTTTCAAATAAACAGTGAGGAACCAAATAACTTGTTAGGATCTAACTAGTCACTATTTTACTGTTCCTCAGATCAAGATAGCTTAGTGGTCAAAGCATAGATTAGATGGAAAATCAATGAGATAATTTCCTAGGGTCTAGCTCACAGATCTTTAGAAAGCTTGAATAAAGACTAATTTGTAAAATAACCAAAAGCAAAATGTTTCCAAATGAAACTGGAGAGGGAAATGGTAGCCCTCAATAATGCAGTCTGGAAACCTCCAAGATTAACAGGATCATTTTGGTGGGAGAAAATCCATCCAGAGAATGATAGCATTTTAAACTTAAACTCAGATTATCATACTAAATTACAACTCATCCCTTGTATGACATCTGGTGGTTTTGGTAATATAATGATAACAAAGGCATGTCAGACAATCACAGAGACACACCCATTCTTCTTTGACAGATTTGGATCCACTCCCTGTATATGCAAGGATCCAATCTTTGCAAAGTGCCAACACCACCCAGGCCTGTTTTCAGTGGGAGATCTTATTCACAAATCTCTCCTGCATACAGCAGAATTTAGGTCCCTAGCTTTTTTTGGGTCCTCAGAGCCGAGGAATATTTTACTAGATAGCTACCAGGAGTGACACAGGGCCCAGTGCCACCCTAAATTTAGGGTGAAGCTACCTGTCAGCTCTCTCTCCTTCAACTCAATTCACTAGAGAGTAAGGAAAGAAGGAGAGAGTTGAAATATTTCTTCTCAAAATTGGGAAAATCCAACTGAGTGATCTGAATGAACTGGAATACCACACAATTCTAAGAGAAACTGCAAAGTTAACATGTTCCAAGGGAAGAAGAGAAAAATAAATAATCCCCACTGAACCATCCCATGGAAGCTGCTGAACACTGGCCTTTGAGAATTCAGGAGGATAGAAAATAAACCCATTTTAAAGATTCATTAAACCTTGTGCTACACAGATAAAGGCAGAGTACAAATAACTATATCAAATTAAACTGCAGATCAAAATGTTGATAATTTAATCAAGCCACTCCCTAGAAATCTAAGTTCATATCATTAGTAAGTGGACAATTCCTTAAGTTTAGACCTCACATTAGGTAAACGTGTATACCATGTCAAAGAGAGTCTAGTTAAGAAGAAATATAGTGATGAAAATACAAGAGAGGGCATAAATTTATAACTAATAAGATGCACCAGGAAAGAAAACTATGGAACAACAGGGAAATATTTGAAAATGATCTGTGAGAATTTTGCCTAGCTAAGCAGACTGTGTTGTTCTTATACCTAAAATGTTCACACATATAAGTTATACTATTTAAGATAGAAAATGAAATTTCACTAAACACTTAATTTCACATGGATGAGGACAGGGATGGAAAAATTTAAGAAACATTTTTAACAAGCTAAAACATCTATGTAACACAACTTTTTTAACATGACCCAACTCTGGAAGCATCTGAAAGAATAGACTTTATATTGAAAGTTTTTAAAATATCAATAACTGCTATTTGATAATCCTAATCTTTTCCTAATGGTATTTTAATGATAATCCCAACTTTTTCTTATTTAGATCCTGAGGGCCACGTCAAGTTGAATCCTGAGTCCCCAGTAATAAATTTCAAATAATAAATTGCTAATTTATTAATTTAATTTCAGTAATTATAGTATAAATCCCAATTTAAATATATCTTGCCCCCAATTTTTTTCTTAAAAAGAATCAGATCAATTAAAACCAGAATTAAACAAATAAGACTTGCAAAAACCTGTTTAAAACAGTACATATGAAATACATTAACCTTCAACTTATAATGATGGATAAAACTCTCAGAAACAGCCACTGAGTGGAAGGTTTTGTCATGTGTCTAGTACTTTCCCAAATAGAATCCTTTCAAACTATCTTCAGGAAAAACTCACTTAATGAATAATTATAAACAAGAAAAACAAGTCACTGGCACTCAAAGATAGCATGGTTAAATGTTTTTTTTTTCCCCTCCAGTAGCTGGTTGTAAATTCTGGTTCCATTTTATCAATGTTGGATGGACTACAAAGATAACTATATACTTCAGGCAAACTCTCCATCTGATTGAAAGTTCATGAAAACTTTCTTAGTCAACCTCCAAGCAGTCTTTGGGAGAAATCAAAGTAATGAATAGCTTTTCTTTAGTGTGATCATTAAAAAACTTCCTTTTCAAGCTACACATGTAACTCAGAGCTAAGTAAGCTATCATGGAATTAAATCTTCACTGAGACTTAACGTAAAACAATACTATATTGGCTTGGCTATGGTGCTACTTTTGTAAAAAGGAGAAACTATCAAACATTTGAGGTAACTTAGAGCACAGAACATATCACAGATATTTTAGAGACAAGCATTTTAAACACTTTAGCCAGTGCTTCTCTGAGAGCAAGTTCTTTAAACAGAACTTAACAATTTTTACAATATTAAAAAAAAAAAACCCTCAAAAATAGCCCATCAATGCTAAATCAAACTTCCCATATTTTTACAAAAATAGAAGAACATAGAAATACAAAATTGTATTCCTGAAAGAATGAACATTTTCTTTGTGGTTCATTGTTTCCTGACAAGGTAATTGGTTCAAAAAGAAGGAAAAAAAAAGTCAAACCAAAAATTAAAACATGTATTGATAAAAGCAAGACAAAAAAAAGAGAGAGAGAGAGTTGCACAGTTGGCAAAGGCTCAGATGAGGGAAAGAAATAAACAAAAATGCTTTTCTTCAATGTCTAGGACTCATTCTGCTTTCTCAAGAAAAGGCTCCAAAGCAAAGTCAGCTGGAGAGCACTTCCTCTTTTCCTTCCACGTCTAATATGTCCCGCTGCAGAATGACAGTCCCTGGCAGCATCTTTTCCCAGTGGGCCCACGGAGTCATGCTCCAATTTAACTTGATAACACTGTGTGTTTCAGTACCACGGTGATTCCTTGCCCTTGTCTTGATGCTGTAGACCTAGAAAAGGTGTGAGAAATAGAAAAGTATCAATATGTGTAGCACTTGAGAATGGGCATTTTCTACAACGCCCTGGATACAGAAACCAAAGTGACAACTGAGCTCCCAAGTTTCAAAAAGCCAACCAATACTAAGTGACCAGGAAAACTCGAGACTGGAGCAGCGCTGTCAGCACAGGACACATTCTTTACTGTGGCTTTTATCTTACTACAGTAGGTGTGAATAATAAACAAAATAATATAAATGAAGCTTTCCTATTTCTGATCTCAAAAGGAACTGATATGGGAAAAAAAATGATACAACTGAGCTCTGGGGCATATTTAGGCAGCGCTTCAGTTAACACTTTTCAGCAAACATCAGGTGGTAGTTTTGGACCAAGGGAGTGAACTAAATTTACTTATTTTTATTGTTCTCTCTTCCAGAAAATATTTGTGTGTGCGCATTCAGTCATGTCCAACTCTTTGTGACCCCATCGACTGTAGTCCGCCAGGCTCCTCTGTCCATGGAATTCTCCAGGCAAGAATACTGGAGGGGGTAGCCATTCCCTTCTCCGGGGGATCTTCCCAACGCAGGGATTGAACCCAGGTCTCTCCCATTGTGAGCAGATTCTTTACCATTTGCGCCACCAGGGAAGCCTCACTAAAGCATCTGTAGTGATTTTATTTCTTGTCTTTCAATTTGTCAAATAATTGAGTAAAGCAATGGATGTCATTACAAAACAGATACAATTAGTCAGTCATTATGGGAGTCATTAAGACACTAAACAAATTACATAAAATGAAAAAGAATAAAAGGGAGTCAAAGAAGCACCTCATTGAACCACAAGGCATGATCTTTGGTTTTATAGCATTTGTATTCTGGGAAAAAGCAACTCTTTCTGAATGCCAAATGATTAGTTCCATCTTAAGTTTTATCTCGTGCACTACCATTATGTTTAGACATAGAGTCCACAGTTTCCCTTTCCCATTTCAAAAGAAAAGGAGGAGGAAGAAAAAAAAATAAAGAGGATCTGGGTCATATCCACTCACTCTAAGTTTGCTTTATTCATTTTCAAATAATTTTGTGGTCAGAATAATTTGCAACCTGACAAAGTCTCCATTGGGTGACTTTTATAATCTAAACCACCTTAACCGACAATCTGCTGACTGCATAAATATTTTTTTCATTATTAGAACGTCTCATCTTCTGTATGACTCAGTATTTTCCACACTTGAAGACCCCATCAATCTATAGAATGTCAGCACTGCAAGTCATGAATAGTGTTGGAATCATCAAGTGGTTTGAGTGTCTTTTTTTCTTCTTAAACAAAAGCAATCCCTAGTTTGCCTTGCAAAGAGAGATGACTCCACCAAAATCATGTTAGCCTTTTTCTGTGGACCAGGATTATGTTACTTAACATAGTCCTAAATATTCTAATCAGAGTTAGTGGCTGGAATAACTCTCGCTCTTCAACTGTTTTGTTTCCAAGTCTGCATTACTCCAAAGCAAACCTTAAAAAATCAATTCACCTATGGCCTACAACATATTAAATGGCTAATGTTGTCCTTTTGGCTTTTTTTCTTCTCAGTGATGGGACATAAACATAACTTTTCCTTTGATTACCAGGTATCCATACCTGTAAATCTCAAAGTAAGTATAAAGAAAAGGAATCACCACAGACAAAAGACTCTACTACTACTAAGTTGTAACAGGGCTATGATTTTTCTTGTTAAACACTTGTTGAAGGAAGATCAAAATATTTAAGAATCAGTCAGTACACTTAGTTTTCCCAGTGGTGAAAGGAGACAAAATCATTAACCCATGATTCTTAATGTGGTCTTGTTGTTCAGTCACTAAGACATGCCCCACTCTTTTTAACCCCATGAACTGTAGCATGCCAGAATCCTCTCTCCTCCACAATCTCCTAGAGTTTGCTCAAATTCCTGTTCATTGAGTCAGTGATGCTATCTAACCATATCATCCTCTGCCACCCCCCTTCTCCTTTGCCTTCAATCTTTCCCAACATCAGAGTCTATTTCAATGAGTCAGCTCTTCACATCAGCTGGCCAAACTACTGGAGCTTCAGCTTTAGCACCAGTCCTTTCAACCAATATTCAGAGTTGATTTCCTTTAGGATTGACTGGTTTGATCTCCTTGCTGTCCAAGGAACTCTCAAGAGTCATCTCCAACACCACAGTTTGAAAGCATCAATTCTTCAGTGCTCAGCCTTCTTTGTGGTCCAGCTTTCACACTCATACATGACTTCTGTAAAAACCATACTTTTGACTGGACAACCTTTGTTGGCAAAGTGATGTCTTTTCTTTTTAATATGCTGTCTAGGTTTTCTCATAGCTTTCCTTCCAAGGAGCAACAGTCTTTTGATTTCATGGCTGGAGTCACTGTCCACAGTGATTTTGTGCTCCAGTTGCTTTAGTCGTGTCCAACTCTTTGCGACAGTATGGGCTGTAGCCTGCCAGGCTCCTCTGTCCATGGGATTCTCCAGGCAAGAATACTGGAAGGAGTTGTCATGCCCTCCTCCAGGGGATCTTCCCAACCCAGGGATCAAACTTAAGTCTCCTGTGTCTCCTGTATTGCAGGTAAATTCTTACTGCTGAGCCACCAGGGAAGCCCCCACAGTGATTTTAGAGTCCAAGAAAAGAAAATCTGTCCACTTTTTCCCCGTCCATTTGCCATGAAGTGATGGAACTGGACCCATGTATCTTTAATCCATGATCCTTACACAATCTACAGGTTCTTGGGGGTTCCCCAAATTTTCTTATAAGAACATAAAATTCACCCTGCTATTATTTTGCTACTACTCAGGCTTTTTTTTTTTTTTTTGCTTCTCACTCCTCTAACTCAAACCTATATGAAATTAGTTTATAACACATTTTGAAATCTACTTACTGGGTTGCTGAAATCACCCATGTTTATCTCTTGATATTAGTAACTCAGTTTTAGATTTATTGTTTACTCTGTGATATGTTCAGAGAAAGTAAAATAAACATCACAACGATAATGTTAGCAAATACTTTCTTAGGGCTGAACACACTAGACATTGTGCTATTTTATGTGAAATATCTCATTTAATGTTTCCAATCATGCTATATACATATATTTATATTTTATGGATATATATATTCATTTTACAAATGAGAAAACTGAGAGTAGAGAGGTTATGCCAACTATTATGTGGTAGAACCAGGACTGAAAGTTGGTGGTCTAATATCAGAGTCAATGGTTTTAACCACAATGTATATGGCTCCCCTTTTGTGGATTATATTGTCTTTGTGGATTATATTGTCTGTAGGCTGTGACACTAGCCTGTATGCTTGCAATTCCCTGAGTCAAAATCCTTTCATTAAATCAATTCAAAGAAAAGTCAATACATTTTAAATATTGATTTTTGCACTATTTAGAAACACCCTGATTTACCAGAACTGATACCAGTATTAATAAAATAGCTCTGTGTTTTTTTTTAAACTATACATTTGCAAAGCTTTTCTAAGTCACAAAAGATGATTACACAGTAGTTTGTTATCCTTCAGATCGTGTAATAGGACATGTTTTGTGAACAGATGTGTAACCAATCCTCCCTGCCCCCACCCAAATAAACTGCCACAGTATGAAAACTGAAGACGTAGGCTGGCCATCTGACCCAAGACGTGTTTGTCAGAAATGGGACCAAAGAACAAATACATCACACTGTTGGATTCAGAGTTTGAGAGTCTGAGATCAAGTCAGAAGAAAACCCTGAAAGAAAACACAAGCCCACAGACCCAGTTTCTCCTTTCAGTTCCAATACCACCACCACCTGACCATCAAAAGAGAAAAGAAAAACCAAATCCAGGGATAGGACAACTGAAGTACAAACACAGGAAAGATACACTGAATACTTAGGAGTAGGAAAGACGCTTTGGTTAAGAGATCATATTAGGACTTCCCTTTAAAATTTGAAGAATCTGACTATATAACAAGGCATTGTAACTCAATTTCTAGCTGAAATTTTTGGGAGCCTATTGCTTCACAGATTTCTTCTCTTGCAAATAAACCTCTGGGAATAAAGAAGTGGACTTGGCAGCAGGGTGTGCCTAAGCAGAGAAAGCCTAGAAACTTCCCCCACCCTTGTTTCCTTCAGCTCCTAGGTGTCTGATGAAAAGATCTTAAAGTCCCCATTAGCTCCTCAAACAAGCTGCTTCAGAGAGATTTCTGCAGGCCTGCCTCTTTATCCCATAGCTGTGATGTGGGTACCCCACGGCATAAGAAAGGATATGAGCCGCCCTAGCTCAGCACCTCGGAGGCATCACAGACTTTAGGAAGCCAAATAGAGTAAACAGTCATCAGTGCAGCACCGTATGGAGAACGCACAGAGAAATGGTGGGAGAGGGAATACGTCTGCAAACAAAAGCAAGACAGAAATGAAATGACAAAGCAACCACTTAAGCGACAATGTTCATGCTATGACTAACTGGGAAAACAGAGGCAATCCCTAGGGAGAGTGAGGGAAGCATCTAAGAGGGTTCAACCAGAAGTGGGACAGGGTTTTAAACTGAGCAACGAAGAAATCATTGGGCTGGACCACAAATACTCAGAATTGATGAAGTAATTATAGCACAGGGAACTATAATCAATATCCTCTAAAGGAAATGAGTATGAAAAAGAATGTATACACAACTTAGTCACTTTGCTGTGTAGCAGAAATTAACAACACTGTAAATCAACTATGCTTGAATAAAATAAATTTAGAGAAAATGAATTGAAAAGCTAAATTTTCTGCTACTGGGTAGAAGTAAATAATAAACTGACTTACTGAAAATGTTATACTCCAGCACACCTGAGTTTTAAGACCATGTGATCATCAGTCATATCCACTAGAAAAGCATATCCTACTTCTAAAGAAGAATAATCCCTTGACAACATCACTGACTATCACTCTTAAGTAACTTTAATGTGATTCCAATTAACTTTATTGCTGGAGATAAAAGAGGTAATGTGGTAACCATGCACCAGTGAACATGCTG